ACAGTTTGAGCGCAAGAAAGGGTGAAAGAGGGAAAGATAACAGCACACGAAACATCTGAGAGGCCTCAGTGCTGGCTAAAAGACAGTGCACATAAAGCAACAGTGGTTGAGGCTGGAAAAGGAAAAGCAGAGGGTACAGAGAGGAGGAGGAGAGATAGCCGCAGGATTCATGTCACAAGCCTATGACGAACCTTCCAGGGATATACTCATGCAGGCGGATACACTTAATCAAGACTGACAAAGTCCTCATACTTAAGAAAGTGTAAGGGACTTGCATTCTGGGACAAGCACATCACCAAAGAGATGTGTGTCTGCAAAGCCCTCACATCCTCTGGATGAGTGTAAGCCTTCTTAACCACACACAAAAGTCACAGACATAATTTCAGTGACACAAATTAGTGCAATCTTTACATAACAGATTCAGTTTAAAGATGCACAAAAATCAAAAGAGCCCAAAATGAAAAGTTTGACTGAAATTGAAATTGACTTTTGCTTAGAAATCGCTATATACATCATCAGGGTTTTTGCACTTACATGGTCAAAACTGTAATTAACAAAAATAAGACATTTTGAATTTTTTTAATTCTTCTGCAGCTTCCTACTGGACATTTGTGTTGTCCACAGAGTGGAATACAAACTTAACAGCACAATGGGCGGGTCCTACCAAACGTTGAATGTTGTAATGAACGTAAGTGAAAAAAAAGACATTAGGAGTACAGGGCTATGACATGCTCCACATAAATCATAGAGCACCACAGTAGTTGACACTACATCGGCAACTCTAAAATATCGGTCAGCTGTTTCCATGGGAAATGCACACCCAGATGCTCAAAGCTTGGACTGTTTCCACAAATATGTCCAAAAAGAGGTTTGAAAAATGGAAAAATATCAGTTCAACTTCAAAGAACAGAAAAATGTTTGTCTTAATTTCCCTTTTTCCTTGTGTACAGGATAACAGGAAACAGTTCTATACCACGTTGATTTGCTTTTTGCCTTGCTGCCTATTCTAAAGCCACAGTGTAGGGTAAGCAATAGTGACCCTTGAAGTTGGTACACACTCTCTGAGTTTAGCTCAAGAACACTTAAGCAGGACAGATGCTTACTATCCTGAAGGTTTGAATGATTAAACAGATGGTCTTCCATTTCCCTATACCACCCTGTCTCCAAGGATTGAGCAAGGGTGACAGGAGAAAGCAAGAAGTGACCTGAGAGGAGGGTGAAGTATGGAAAAAAAATAGAGAACTCTGGGCATAAAAGTCTGACTGCTTCATCGGGCCAATTGTCCCGGAGCTCAGACAGACACGTGGCCAAACCCAGCCATGATCAGAACATCATAAACCTTCAGACCATTTAGGCGCTGGAGGGGTTTGTGAGTCACTTAAAAAGATAAAAAACTCAAGTGGAAAGAAGAATGTCCAAGTTGTAAAACAAAGCAACTAAAACAGCATTATTCTCACCTGTATTGATTTCCTATCATCAGTGTACAGAATATTTCAGCCTCAAAAGCATATACCGTTTACTCGTTACTGCTTTAAAAGTAACAACTGTCAGTCTAATAACATTATATAACCTTCTGCACAACCTTTGCACCTTCACGGACACACCACTGTTATCAGGTGCTCAATAAATACAGAAAGGACAAGAGAATGACGACAAAACCTTTCAACTCGAGGCTGGATTCAGCTGCTGTGAAAATATAAGTGCTACACAGGTGGATCAAAGTTTTAATAAGTCTGAAAGTGTGACCTCTTTGTACTTTGACCTCAACATCATGCCATACTAAATCTAGTCATCATTCACCTGGGCCTCTGTAAACAAAGTCTGATTGTTATATATATATATATATATATATATATATATATATATGAAGTAACCACAGCCCATTGGAAAAAGGAAAATATGTTGCACAGTCACTGAGCGTATTTGTCTTTAATGTGTGCTTTGTGAGTATGTATCAGCCAGAGCTTTTCTAACTGTTAATGGGGGTTACTGAGGGAGAGACATTAAGCAAAGACGTTACATGAGGTCAAAAGGAAAGGTGCATGCCATTGTTCTAAAAACAACAGGAAGTCAGTTATTGTAATTTTGCCCCCTTACCGACACGTTTATTCCGCAGTTGCAGTTGCATGTGACTCCACTGTACTGCATGTGACACACATACAGTAACTCCTGGAGGCAAGTAAAGTACTTTAAAAACCCTTCATGCCCCACAATGAATCAAAATTCATCCGCTACTACGTCTCAGACTCAGTCAAATCTGAACAGAAGGACATGGCAAATGGACTGCACTTTTCTAGTCTTATAAACCACTCAAAGCACTTTGCAATACTTGCCACATTCACCCATTCACACATCAAATCCATACACACTGATGATGATACACTGATGGAACAGCCATCAAAGGTAAACGTTGACACCAGGTATCGAACCACCGACTTTCTGATTAGTGCCAACAGGAACTGCTAATAGCTAATTCGGCATACTTTTAACGGTGCACTATACACACTAGGTCTATGGGATTAAAAGACAAACACGTACAGTCATAAATCTACCATAGAAACATTTCAATCATGCATTTGTTGTATAAATAAGAAGCTCTCTCACATCGCTTTCATTCCATCCCAATCTGAAGTGTTTACAGAGATTAATAAAAAAGTCCTGAGTCAAAACCACAGGAGTGTAATATTCCACCTTCTCCACAGGAATGCTCAGAACCTCAGACAGGTGGCTTTTCTTTCTGCATTCCTCAGTGGGAGAAACACACCTGTGGGCGCTGTAGTACACCACAGCAGAGGCCTGGCTACCTGCACACACTGATAGGGTTTCCACGTGCAGTGCAGAGGTGATGTGGGCTCCTGTAATAAGAGCCCCAGCTCTTTACAGAGAAGAGAGATCCAATCTATCCCGCCTGCCTGTCATCTGGTCTGGGACAGCTTGGATCACTGTCCCAGGCCGGCTCTGCATGGGAGCCCAGCAGCACAATGGAGGTCTTGTGAGCTGCTCAGATAGTTGAAGAATATCCTTCTCTTTTAATTAGAAACGAGGACAATCTGCTGACTCAAGCAAGAAACTAATGACAAAGCCATGAAGACGGCTCAGGATATCTTTAATGCATACGGTCAGAGGGTTGCAGCAGGGTTTAAAAGTACAAACTGTTTCCATAGGAGTTCAGAATAATTACAAAACTGTGGACATTAAAGATGTCCCATGGTGCAAGCCTGGTCTGATTATGTCTAACAAACGGCTGTTCTGCAAACACAAAGTAGCATTAGTGCTGAGCTCTTGTCCCAGGGGTCGAGACTTCAGCTTCAGAGGTCAAGCGTCGATTGTGCAGCCACTAATGGACGAACAGTACACTAGAAAGGCCGTGATGCTACACTGAAACTAAACCGTGTGTTATATAACGCTGTTAATGATTTTCCCCTGAGAAGAGGCAAGCCTTGTCAAACGTTGTGTAAGTGTGTGAGTGAGGGAATGAAACAGACACGTGACGTGAAACATACAAACGTCTGACTAAAACTTCAAATTCAACGGTGTACATGCAATATTCACACTGGCATCACAGAACATCCAGATTTGGCCGGCATGGCAAACAACAAAAGCCACGCACAGTACACCGGAGACGAAAAGAGAGGAAAGTTTGAGTCTGCGGCTGTGTCCTGCTCCCTCTGGCTCTCTCTCAGACAGATGCAGACGCAGCAGACCGTGGGCAATGGGTCAAGCTCATCTAACACACAGGGAGCACTTCCAGAAATAACCCCATCTGCCCATGAGTGGCGTCTCGCTCTCTCAAACAATGGCCTCTCCTTCGGTTTACATAAACACTACATTAATTTACAGAGAGAAGTAGGGCTGGAACGATTAGCTGAGTGATCAATTTTCTTTTACAACACCTGTTGTTTTCTCAAGCAAAAAATTGCTTTGTCTTATGTAACAGTAAACTGGGTTAACGGGTAAACGGGTTTTTGGCTGTTGGTGGCAAAAACAGGATGTCCGAGGACATCCCTTTGGATTCTGACAAATTGAGATTTGGCATTTATTCATCTTTTTTTTTGACATTTCATAAACCAAACAATTTCTCCATAAAGTGAAAAAATTCTCAACAGATTAACTGACGATGAAAATTAAAGTTACTAAAAAAGAAGCACTGTGAGAATTTATGGGAGACCCTCAGCAGGGAAAATACCAACCCACATAGAGTGACACAGGCCTTTAAACCTTAGGCTGAGATAGTATGAATCAAAAGTGGGGATGTAATTACGATTATTTCCATTATCAGTTAATCTGCTGATTCTTTTCTCGATTCATTGATAACTCCATAAAATAAACTGAAAATGAAGAGCAATATCCACCCCACTTCCTCAGAGTCCAAGGTCTTTATTTGTCTTGTTTTGTCTGACCAACAGCGTAAAGATATTCAGTTTACTATGAAATAAAACAGAATTTTATGGGGCATTTTTGCTTGGAGAATTACTTAAACATTTAATTGATTATTTTTCTGACAACTTGATAACTAATCATTGCAGCTCTAATCAAAATTTTGGGCTTTTGCTTCATTCACATGTCAGATAAGGAACATGGCAGTAGACGCTGTGTGCTATAGATGAAGCTCTGGAGCAGCACTCACTGTAAGTGGCCTAATCTGTGACCCTGTAGGTCTGACCTAGAGTGGCTTTAGCCATGTTAGACAAATGAGGGCAGGAGGACTGTCAGGGCAGCTTCATGTCAAAGCCTGTGAAAACTCCAGGCTGCTGTGGGGAGAATCTGAGCAGCAGCAGCAGCAGCATTGCCCCGCTGCCCTACTTCACACAAATCACACAAATTGTTATGTGCTTATAATGCTGTGCCACATGGCAATTATGAAACAACTTCCACTGGGATTTCTAAGCTCTTTTGTGTTTGTTTGTTAATATCCCCCACACACTTTCTTTCTCTCTGCCACACACACACACACACACGCTGGTGACATTATTTGGGGGCCTGTGTCATGATTCTCTTACCTTGACGCACAGTTTTCAACCTGACGGGACCTTTGCAGCACTTCATCAAAGTTAAAATGTCATACAGGGGTAATCCAGACACAGACAGCCCCTCAACCTCCAGGAGCAGCTCCCCCTCGCAGAGTTTACCGTCCTGGTAAACCACAGCATCCTCTCTAAGTTGCCCAATGTATGGAAACTCTCCATTCTCCGCTCCGCCGCGCAGCTCCACATTCAGCTCCCCACACGCGTCCCGGACAACCGCGCACTCGTTCACTTTGGTAATCCAGTGGTTCTTCTTCTGAATGACTTTTGACATGATGACTCAGGTCCAACCAAACCCGTTAGTTCCGCGGAATGGTGTCAAAATCAGCCGATGCATAGCACAGAGGTAGTCCCCACAGTAAGTCAGTAAACTTCAGGGTGTCTCTCTAAGTTGGAACATTTTCATCCTCCTCCTGAACCAAGGCATGCTGCTCCCTCCGCGTGCAAATATCCCGGTGGATCAAAATGCAGGTTGTTGTTGTTTCTGATGTTGTTTCCGCATCTTCAACAACAACACACGCGCTGACTCCTCGCTGTGGGATCTAATCCGCTCTCTGATTGCCCGCTTTACATTCAAACACCCTTCTCCTCATTAATCTTCTAGTTGTGCCTCATCTTCTGTCGAGTGTTCCTCCCCAACTCTGTTTTTTTTAACTTTCCAGGAGACGAAAAGTGTTACCGTTCACGTAGCCCGTGAGCAGGTTGGGCTGTAGACACACGGCCAGCGGCTCCTTTAAGCAGGTAACGCGACAAGTTCATCCTATTTGCTCCTGCGCTCGGGATGGAGAAATAGTGGGAGGGGAGCGCATGCGTCCAGCTGCTACTCCACGAGGGAGAATCCTACCCGTGCCCACACCTACCGGGTCCTAAGGCTCCTCCCCACCCGCCGGCCTGCACGCGTTTCCAAACGGATTACAGCGGTCTCTGCGTTTAATCCCCCAGGAGCTGCAGCCAGTAGCAATTCTTTATTCATAAATAATAAAAACACACCGCAGGGACTCGGTTTTCTCTTAGAGCTGCAGGTTGATTAAGGTTGTTGGCCCAGACTCCAAACAGCGGGTGACTCCTGAGGAGCGCTTAACTGATTAGTTAATTGTATTCAGTCACACTTTATTTGTGTTTTTACAGGAAACTGAAATTCTGCTTCACATTTAGCGTCTGCATTTGCATTAATTTGTTCAACAGCATATAAACACACATTATACAATCCCTCACACAGACTAAACAAAAAACACTGTTCCGTTAAAAAAAAACAAAGAAAAACTTAACTCCACTGTTTGCAGTGGGACAGAGCAGTCGTTTGGTCTGACCCACGTGCTGAGTTGTTCATTTGACCCAACCATGCTGAGTTAGATATCAACCATATGCTGGGTTATTTCCTGTCTCATTGCCTTGATACTTGTATATTTAATAATAACAGTAGCCTATGATATATACCAATTATTTAATGTATTGTTTTACAATTTTCCTGCCAAAACAAGTTATTATGCATGAACACAAATGTGCATAATATACAGTACAATACACTGCATGCTAGAGAAACTCCCAGGTGGGGAGGCACCGCTTGGTGTAAATAGTAGCTTGGACTGATAATTGTATCATTTTTAATATTACTATATTATTGATGTCATTGACATTAAAACACACAAACCCAAGCTCCCACACAGCTATTTTGCACACACCTGATCTTACAGGCGTAGTGTTTAGTGAATACATGATATTGATTGGAAGCTCATATTAATAAATACACCATATTACTATGGTGAACATCCGTGGTGCTAATTAGAGGGGCTGTAGATAAAACACCAGATCGATTTAGCCATCAGCAACTTCAGTCATGCCCCTGTCTTTAAGAGCATTAGGCAGTGTTGTCATAAAAATCAGCCCCAAATGAAATAGCTGGCAACTGAACTATCTCTGAAGGTAATTTAGGGCCAGAATGTTTGAAAGCAAAACATAAACTGAATGAAAAGCAAAACAAAACTCCTGAGTGGTGGGTCTGAAGACTTATCCCCCTCTATTGTAGATGGATGTGGGAAGCAGAGTTGGTACAACCTTCAGTGCTCTCTCACCTTTAACAACTACACAACTTGAGCATAATACATAGTGTTGCATTAACATTTAAATAGTGTGCTCTATATGACAAATTATACTTCTGCCCCTGGTGTTGATTGGTGCCTATAAATGTGTTGACTGGATAGCCTATATAATGACAAGAATTGTTTGTAACATCTCACAATGGATCGCGGACGCAGAGGGAAGCAGAGGAGACATAACCTACTGTACAACACGGAGCTCACTGGAGTAAAGACGTGATGTTGTGAGTCCAAAAATGGCTAAAATGCTGCAAGTAGGTCTTTCTCGGCTCTAAGGCAAACAGCAGAGTTGTATTTACCAACTGATACTGTTTTAGAAAAGTCTGAAATACAGTCTATTTTCAAAAATAAACTTCTTTCAATTGTAATTTTTTTGGATTATGACATATTACTATAAGAAATAACTTAGCTGGTGTCCTGTCATCCAACACTAAGTGTAGTTTCCTTCTCGCTGCATACACTGTACGTAAGTATTCTGTCACAGATAGCAGCCCAGTTTGCAAGTTTTCCCCCTGCCTCAGGATAAAACTGCTGGAAGTCTTATGACATCTGATAAATTCTGAAAACATGGAAAACAAATGTAACTAAAACAACAGTGTCTGAAGAAATGATATGGGCTTGCAGGAAGCACCTGTTAGGAAAGAATACTATGAGTTGTACAGTGGCCCTGAGATCTCAGTGCACTGCAACTTAAGGAAACACATGCAAAAAGACAAAACACAAACAAATTCAGAAAACATCTTGATCAATCTGACAACACGTGTTGCAAATACTCACAACACAACCAAAAAGCCAAATACGCAGCAAATACAGACAGATTATCTTTCTTTTTTTAAAGTTATTTTTCCAGGCTTTTGCCCTTATTTCAGTCATAGTGAGAGAAAGATATGAAAAAGGGGAGAGAGAGAGACAGAGAGAGAGAGAGAGAGAGAGTCTACACTACCTACAATACCACACCTACTTTGAGGTCATTTAATAGGCGGAAGAGTGTAGCTGGCGGGAATGATTCTACCTGTGGCAGATGTCCCTTGGTCACCTTTCCATGGACAAATTAAAACATGATTTTGAAGTAGTAATTTAATGAACAGCCTTTAAATATAATCACAGACAAAAAGCAATGTGACTTTGGGAACATCAATGATCGATCTGAGCAAATCACGAGTTGGCTCGACTGAGAGTGGGCAGATTACAGTGTTTGACTTATCCGCTTCCCACACAAACAGAGACACACACCACCCTTCCACAAACTTCTTGTCGTGTTCCTTCCCAGAACAAGTGATGTATGTTTCTCAATGCACTTGTTGTTTAGTCTTTTTTTTGACAAGCTCAGGGATAACTTTGTGGTAATTATTGTTTGAGTTAAGCATGAAATTTCCCATTATATATCTGCAGTTTATAAATTTGTCGCACTGAAGTAAAAATACAATGCTGTTTTTTTTTCAAGCTGCTAAAAAGTTCACACTTTGTAGGTCAAACTGATTTCCCTCTGATATCTCTAAAAAGAAGCAAAACCAATTAGATCTTAGATGAAGAAAGGAGTCTTTGTCAAAGTTCAACAGCAACATTATCTACAATGATGCAAATAAATGGGGCATCTGCAGTTTGGAAAGAGCGAGGAGGGATCAGGTGAGAAACACATGGCACTGCAGGGGGAAAACAGGCTCTTTGTGTTTCCTGCCTGTTCAGATAAAGTACAGTAACTGGCACTCTACCACAGGCTGCGAGGGCACTGGCCTGGATAGCAGAGCATGAAAGGCAGCTTTCCATCCCATTTCATCTCAGTGTTGAGTGCTGGGAGTTTCATGTTGACTCAACTGTGTCACCTTTACCCCTCCTACTCATCCTACTCAGTCATGTAGAAAGAATTTGCCAAAGAATATGGCTGCCTCTCTCTATATTAACTTGAGTCATATGGACCTGTGTGTGTGTGTGTGTGTGTGTGTGTGTGTGTGTGTGTGTGTGTGTGTGTGTGTGTGTGTGAGTGTACATGGTGAAGACAACATATATGACACTATCATTTACTCTACTCTGTCACATGTCACATGATATTCTCAGTGGGGGAGAGGTAATGGCTGCCGGCCACTGAACGTGACACACATCTAGGGCGCTGACGTGCCTTGACTGGTGAGGTGGACATTGTTTCTACCATACAGCCCTGAGATCAAATGACCATCTGAAACCAACTCATAAATCTGTAATAATACAAGGTAAATGGATGTCAAAGAAAGATAATGGCTGACAGTATGGCTTCTCTTATAAACATGGACTTGAAAATGACAGCCCATCGCTGAAGTGACTGTGTCAAATCCCAAATAGTCCAGGAGTTCCGGCTAAGAGAAAAACCTTATTACTGAACAAACGGCTCAACAGGATGTCCAGCAAAGCACCTTTGTCAGCAGTTTGAATTTGGGTTTGTGTGTGGGAGGGGGGTTTTTGAAAGGGGAGAATAAGAAACGGAGTAAGAAAAACAAAATACAAACAATTAAACCTAGTGATTCTAAGGATTAAATGACAAGCAGGTCCACAGTGCCCACAATAAACATATCCCATTTTAGGAATAGCTGACAGCTACCACAAAGCAATCAATCATTTATCAAAGCAGACAGCAATTAACAATAAAAAAAAACCTGCATGTTGATCAAAAATGATTCAGTACAAATGCTGTTTGTATAGAACAGAAAGGAATGCATGTGAATGCAATGACTATTATTATATAAGCCTATTTCCCAATTGTGCTGTACCAACTAACTACAGATTAAACATGAACTCCAACAGGCAGCAGGCTTGCAAATATGACACGATGGAAAAATATTCAAGTTGAATGCAGTGATATTAAGCACATACTCAGGTGGAAGCTAAAACCACACACATTCAGTTGCTCTTAATTGGGTTTAATTGGAATGAGCAGCAGTTTCACACATGAAAAGAAAGCAGAATAATTGTCAGAAGGGATGAATATAAACAGTGAAGATTAACAGTGAAGTGTTTGATAACAAGTTGTATAACTGACAATTTACACTCAACTGCTGTTGTTATCCCACTAGTCATGCTAGCTGCACACGTGATTTCCTGTTCCACCTGCTTTTTGCCACACAAAGTCCAGTCTGAAAGCACCTTAGGGAGATGGTATAGACAGATACCATAATTGGGGCCCTTATTAACCAGCAATCAACAAGAAAATTGAAGCTCTACTACTTCAGTCTGGTAACTCTAAACATTAAAAACTTGAACTTGAAGTTTCTTTTACAAGAACAGAAATTGAACTAACACATAGTTTACCTAATCATTTAATTATTGAGACAAATGAGAAAAGCCTGACTTTGAGTGGTACATAAAGGCGAGCCTGTGGCAACAACTGGTGAAATAAAGAATGCAAAGCCTCCAGCATTGTGTAACTCAGACCGTGTTTATTTTTATGAGTGACAGTAATTGGCCG